AGAGAACAAAAAAGAAAAAAGGAAAATAGCTGAAAAAGAAATGAAAAGCAAAACAAAAAGGAAAACAAAAGCAAAGCATAAAGCAATGCAATAAAAGAAAAAAGAGAAAAAAGAAAAGAAAGAAATAAGAACAAAAAACCTAAAAACAACAAGAGAGAAAAAGAACAAAAAAGAAAATAAAAAGATAATAAGGAGGAAAAAAAGAAAACAACAACAATAAAGAATGAGAACAAGAAAGAAAAAGAAATGAGAAAAAAAAAAGAAAGGAAAAGAAACAAAAACAATAAAAGATAAAAAGAGAGTAAAAGAAAAGAAAATAGGAAATAAAAGAAACGTGAGAGAGGATGAAAAGATACATAAAACAGAACAGAAAACATAGCAAAAAATCGAAACCAGAGCGAGATAGGAAAGCAAAAGGCAAAGGCACAGAGATAACGTCAAAAACAAAGTATTAGGAAAGAGATACGGGAGAGTACACGAGAGGAAAAAAGCAAGACATAACAAGAAAATAGAATAGAATTAAGAAGAAATTAGAAAAAAAAGAGAAAAGCAAGCAACAAGAAAAGCAAAAAACAAAGCAATAAGCAAGAAGGAAAACAGAGAACGGAAAAAGATAACAAAAAGGAACGATAACAAATAAGGAAAAGAAGACACAACAAATGGAAGCAGACAAGAGATGACAATAAAAAAGGAAAAGAAGAGGAAACAAGACAAACAAGGAAGAAGAAAAAGCACAAAAAGAGATAAATGGTTTAGAAAACAGAATAGAAAGGACAAGGAAAGGCATGTAAGCAACGACCGGAAAAAGAAAGCTATAGTTAAAGGGACACTAGAGTGACAAGAATACAGCTAGTAACGATGATACAGCATAAAAAGCGAAAGGAAAAAGTAACAGGACAATCAAGGCAATAAGTAAGGCAGAATGATGTAAAATGAAGAGGGAACAAAGACAGGAAAAAAGCATATAAAAAAGTGGCAAAAAAGAAACAAGGCAGAAAGGAGAAAAGAAAAATCAAGGAAAAGGGAGGAAGAAGGAAAAATAGGAAGGAAGAGCGAAAGAAGGAGTCGAGAGATATAAGAAGAAGAAATTGAAGAAGGAAGAGAAAGCAGGCAAAGAGCAAAATAAATTAGAAGAGAGAAGAATAAATAAAAAGTAAGTAAGAATAAAGAAGAAAGTAGGAAAAAAAATACAAGACATAAAGAAGTAAGGAAAAGAGAAAGAAAGATAAGAGGACAGAAAAGAACGAGAAAGACAAGGAGGCAATGTGAAAGAAGAAAGAAAACAAAGAAATGAACCAGAATAAAACGCAAGAGAGATACAAAAAGGAACACGAAAGAAAAGTAGAAAAAAAAGAGAATCAGTGAAAAGAATGAGTGAAAGTAGCTAAAGACAAGGGAAAAGAAACGACATGAACCAGGGAAAAGCAGGAAAACAGGATGAAACAAGGAATCAGGAAATAGACAATCAGTCTAAAAAATGGAAGTGATAATAAAGAAAGAAATAACAAGGCTAGATAACTACTAAGCAAGACAGCGAGTGTCAACAAATAGGAGAGATCAGAAAAAATATAAGAGAAAACGACACAAGAGGAATGGAACATGGAAAAGAGAATTACAAAGGCAAAAAAGAAAAGCAAGAACAAATAGGAAAGAAAGAAAAAATAAAGGATAAAAAAGAGGGAAAAAAGGATCGGAAAAAAGTAGCAATTGCACATAAAAGACGAAGGAACGAGGTAGAAAGAAGAAAGGAGACAAGGAAGAAAAGATCAAATAAAAAAAAAGTGAAAAAAAAAAAGAGAGAAAGAGCAAAAGACTATAAAGAAGGAACTGAAGAGAACAAAAAATGTGCAAGAAATATAGGTCAAGATAAGTAGGAAGATGGAATAAAGGAGGACAACAATCAGACAAATAGTCAATATGAAATTGGAAAGAGTACACAAAGACAAATGAATAACAGAGAGAATAAGCAGCAGGAAATAAATAGACAGCAAGAACTAAATAAAAGAGATAAAGGGGACAAGAAGAGGATGGAGCAATGAAGTAGCAAAACAGAGTAATAGACAAAACAGGGAAGAGAGGATAAAATAAGTACATTACATCGAACAAGAGAGACAGACGGTAAGGAGTAAAAAGGGCAAGCATGACAGGAATCAAAAGAAGAATTTAATAACGAAAAAAAGATAAAGTATAAGGGAGGAAAAAATAGTAAAATAAATGAACAGCAACAAGCAGGAAAGAAAGACGAAAGAACAATATAAGTATACAAAAAATAAGGAAAACAAAAAGAAATAATAAAAAAAAAAACAACAAGAAAAGAAAAAAAAGAAAAAAATAACAAAACAAAAAAAATATAAACAATAAATAAGAGAAAAAGCAAAAGAACAACAACTAAAAAACAACAAAAAAAGAAAGAAAGAACAAAAGACAAAAAGAAAATATAAAGAAATGAAAAACATCAAAGGATAGCTATGAAACAATACGGAAACAAGGAAGAGAAGACAAGAGAAAATTAAAGAACAAATAAGAAAAAGGCAAAAAATAACAGACAACAAGGAACAGGAACAAAAACAAAAGAAAGAAAGAAAGGAACCAACAAGAAAGAAATTAATTAAGTAATAGCAAGACACATAAAAAAAAGAAAAAAGAAGGAACAAATCAACACCAATAAGGAAGCAAAAGAAAGAAGAAAAAAAAGAAAAAAATAAGAAGAAAAAACAAAATAAAAAAATACAATGAAAAGAAAACAAAAAAAGAAAACAAGAGAAAAAAAAACAAGAAATAAGCAAGAAGGAAAAATGAAAAATAATAAAGAAATAATGATAAAAACAATAAACAAAAAAACAACAAAAAGCAACAACAAAAGGAAAAAAAGACAATCAGCGCAAAGCAGAGATAATGCAAGAAAGAAGAAAATAAAATTACAAAAGATAGAAAAAAAGAACGAAGAAAAACCAGGGAAAAAGGAAAAAGCGATAAAGCAAGAAAATAGACAAGAAAGAAAGAATAGAAAAGAAGAAAAATTTAAGAAGGAAAAAACAAAAAAAATAAGTAAGCGAGAACGTAATAAAAGGAAAAAGCAAAAGAAGTAAGAAAGAAAAAGAAAAACAACAATCAGGAAAACAAGAAAGAACAATATAAGTATACAAAAAAGAAGGAAGCAAGAAAGAAATAATAAAAGAAACATAAATAGCAAGAAAGCAACGACAAAGCAAGAAAAATGAAAAACAAAATAGAAAATAAGACAAGACGAAAAAAAAAAAATAGACAAAAAACGACAAAGCAAGTAAAATAATGATAAATGAAAGAGGAACAACAGTAAGGAAAGAGAAAAGACAAAAAAAAAAGCTAAATAGCAACACAAAGAAATAAAAGACAAGAATAAGATAGACAAAACAAAACGAATACAAGACAAGAAACAAGACAGAAATAAGAACGAGAGAAAAAAGAAAAGAAGAAAAAGTAAAAAGAAAAGAAAGGGAAAAAAAAGAAGGGAAAAAATAGGGAAGAACGAAAGAGAGAAGACGAAAAAATGA